AAAATTTTATTAAAGAGATTTTTGAAAATAAAAGCAAAATTACCCATAATCTCTTGGCTGAAAGAAATACACATCACATCTATTTTTTAAATATATATTTTTTAGCTTTAGATGGACACAATAACTTTATTTTATTTATTTATTTTTATGAGGTGCTGAGGATCCAACCCCGTGCCTCACACATGCCAGATGAGTGCGCTATCACTGAGCTACAACCCCAGCCAGCCCCATATCACATATTTTAATATATTTCCTTTCACTTCTTTAAATACATTTTTAAAATTTATCTTACCTGTGAACACAATATGTATATAAACTGATATTGTGTTTAACATCAATTATGATAAAAATCTGTATGAACAAATTTTCCCCTGTACTCAAAAGTTATTTCTTTGTGTGATAGTACTGCTGTAAAATCAGTAAGTACTATTCTTTTTAAAATATTTACCTAATTAATAAGCTACATTTGTTATAAATATTACTTTTAATTTGAATTAATTCCATTAAATGTTTTAGCTTTCCTTTCTCTAGCTCTAACTGGTAACTTTCTGCTCAAGCACTCCAAAATTTGGGTTAATAGTGTCCATGATATTCAAAATTGTGGCATGTATATGAACGTGTTGAACTTCATCTCTTCTGATGTATTTGTGCTCTAAAAGCCACTCTATTTCCTCTTTCATCATTTTCTTTTGTGGCAAGTACATGTTTTTTATGTTCATGGAAAAATAAGTATTTTTTCATATAGGTAAATTTCATCAATATTTTTTATTTTGTTTTTATTTGTTCTTTTTAGATGTATAACAATAGAGTGTATTTTGACATATTATACATATATGTAGTATAACTTCCCATTCTTGAGGTTGTACATAATGTAGAGTTACATTGGTTGTGTATTCATATATGAACACAGGAAAGTTATGTCTGATTCATTCTACTATTTTTCCTATTCTCACTCCCCCTCCCTCATCAATATTTTTCTTGGCAATTTCTTTAATTATTATTAAGCTCATTATTAAATGTTATCTGAAAATTATTAAATATTCTTTCCCTTTTACGTTTTCCAGTATAAGCATCTTATCTACCACCTTAGTGGAGATTAGAATTTGTTATAAAGGAAATGTGATA